AAAATCCCACTTCATTAAGAATGAATGTAAATTAATTAAAGAGGCACTCTGAAATTTAGTGTCAAATTCCACGCGAGGTTTAGAATCCGCTCTTGTTTTAAGTTGATGGCATTTCTCAACAGGGACCCTGGTGGCATTTTTCAAGGGACAGTTCTACCTTGTGTGGGTCTATTCAGGTAAAGGTAGTTGATAACATCCGTAGCTTGCTGGGCTCACTGTGGCCACCAAAGACAGCCCCCTATATTTCCAAGTGCCCTCTGGAGGGGGTGCGGCCTGGCTGAGATGTTTTCCCAGCCATGGGAGTGTTGGGTGACATGCCAGCCATTGCGGGGGGAGGCAGGGGGTGGCAGGGAGCAGGTGTGAGGGCGTCTGTGCGCTGACAGCCTGAGGTGGGATTGACAGAAACCAAAATTGCTTCCCTTTGCAGTGACAACAAGGAGGCAAACCCTTTGGGGTGCACCTGTGTATCTGGTCATTTCTCTGACTCCCCAGCAGTGACCACTGCCGCAGAGAAGGCTGGGCCTAGATCTACTCTGAGGCACCTTGGGAAGACTCAGCCAAGCCAGGGACACCCCCAAATGAGGACCTCTCTGAGGGGGAGGATTTTGTGTTGGCTCTATCACAAAAAAAGCACTGAAGAAGTTCGTCGTGGGGAAGATGAGAACCTCTTTGGATCGCCTTTCCCTTATTTTAGAGGTTATTCCTATTTTGAATTCTATATTCTACAACTTTTCAACTTCGGGTTTCTGAAGCCTGATTTTACCCTGGCTGACGGGAGCCGTGTGGTTTGGTGACATCCTTGTCCCGGCCATTTCTCAGAAAGCATTTCTGAATCAGCTTGGTCTCCGTGATGATCCGAGGTCCACCCCTGGGGACCTTGCATTTTTGTTAATGGGGTTATAAAACTTGTTCCCCGAGAGGCACGTAATGGCTTCCTGGATCTCCCGACCCAGCTGCTGGGTTGATAATTTAGGAGCCTGTACCCACCCCCTTCTTTCCGACTTGCCTTGTTCCAAACAGGAGTCTGAGAGGACAAACACTTGGGGAGAAACAGCAAGGCATTTCCTTAGAAGGTGTCATAGGCACACCAGGGGACCCAGCGAGCCTACCCTGAGGTGTCTGTCCAAGACAAATGTGAAGCATGACTATGCCAAGACCTGTAGGCAAATGTTTACAGCAGCTTTACTCACAAAAGCCGAAACAGCCTAGGTGTCCGTCAGCAGGTGAACAGATAAACCGCGGTGCGTTCGCACAATGAAGTACCGCCCGGCAATGAAAAGGAAGGAGCTACTGAGAAGCGCGACAGCGTGGACGAGTCTCAAAACCACTTTGCTCAATCAGGGAGGCGAAGACAAAACACAGCCCGCGTGGTTCCGTTTGCATGAATGTCGAGAACAAGCGAATCTAATCTGTGATTTTTGAAAGTAGAGTAGTGGTTGCCCCCAGGCTGGGGATCGACTGAGGGGTCCACTTTCGCATGTATTCACGTCCTGAAGACCAGCCCGAAGCTACAGTGTCTGTGTGTCTGTCCATCAATCCATCCATCCCCCACCAACATCCCCTCCCTCTCCCTCTCCGTCTCCCTTCCTTCCTCTCTCTCT